TCTAAAGCTCTCTTGAGGCATTTGCTACAGTAATGAGAAGTGGTATTTTATCAAGGCCAGGTTACTAAATTTGAGTTGGAAATATTGGAACTCGCCGTGGCACGTTCACGCGTCGTATACCTGGAAACCTTTTAAGGTAAACTTAGAGGGAGGAGAGAGGAGATTTTATAATTTCATAGTTTTAAACGGCCTAAATACCTTAACTCGCTTAGAAAATAACGAGCTATAACGAAATGGGCACAGAAATAAAATCTAACATCATTAAATAATTTTTCCTATTTGTATAAAAGCGCGGGGTGAAACCCGCGGGTATAAGCTAGTATGTATATAAATCTTTTATTTTATTTATTTTATTTTTATTTAAGCTTCAACGCAACAGCCGTGGGCTATATTTCAACGCTGCCACAATTAAAATTACATAAAAAGCAACTTAAATCTAGTGAAAATGTTTGCATCTTATATCTACCTTTATCTTAGATAGGAAAAGGAGGGATGGAAAGAGAAGAGTAATAAGGAAAAACAGCAGAAGGAACGATTAGTTATACATATCTATATTTCATTAGGCAAAAAATTTGTAGAGCTCGCTTTTAAAACGCACAATGCTTTTGATAAGTCTCAATGCGGATGGGAGGCCATTCCAAAGACGAATAGCGTGGACAAAGAATTGCCGCTCGGATATTGAGGTGTTGTATTTCGAGTGTAACAGCTGTGAAGATCTAGTTGACCGGGTCTAGTGTAATCGGCACTTTAGATACTGCGGTTCATTCGTAACTAGAATTTTATGCAGCATTACGAGACACCTTACCTTTAATAGATCGTTAAACGAGATTGAAAAAATCTTTGTGCCAAAATTCGAAATATGATCACGCTTTCTAATGCCGTATATGTACCGGGAAATATTGTTGTACAGTAAATTAAGCTTTTTATTGCATACACTATCACACTTAGCGAATAATTCTGAACCATATAAGAGTGTCGGTATCAGGTAACTTTTAACAAGAAGTAGGCGGATTTTAATTGGGGTAAAATATTGAGTGGCCCATAAGGACCGCAGCATACCATAAACTTTCCCGATCGCTCCATAGATGTGGTTGTTCCAGGTTAGAGTCCTGTTGAAAATTATACCAAGGTTTTTGGCGGAGTCAACGTACCGTATTGTAGAGTTATTCAGCGTAACATTGTCAAAGCTGTCGAGCCGAAAGCTTTTCTTATGTATAACAATGCATTGTGATTTGCTGGGGTTTATGCCCAGTCCATTCTTAGAAGCCCAACCATTGACATGGTTTAAATCATAATTAAGATTTCTGATGCAAGTATTAATGGCGTCGGGTGGGCAGCTGAGGTACAGCTACACGTCATCAGCAAACACATGAATCCTACAATGGTCAAGTACTTTAGGTAGATCGTTTATGTATAAGATAAATAATAAAGGACCAAGAACGGAACCTTGCGGTACACCTTGCACTACAGGAGCCAGGCAAGATAGAGAATTACCCGCGCATACTGCTTGCGACCTATCAGACATATGCGAGTGTATTAAGTTTGACGCTGAGGTCGAGAAGTTGAAAATATTTGCAAGTTTTAAGCACAATAAGCGATGGTCGACGGTATCAAATGGCTTAGAGTGATCCAGAAGGGTGAGTAAGGTCCTGTAGTTCTCATCCAGTTTTTGCCTAATATCGTCGGTGACATTCAGCAGTGCCGTGATACAACCTCGATTTTCCCTGAATCCAGACTGGTATTCGCTCACTAAAGAATGCTTTTTTAAAAAANCGGTACACCTTGCACTACAGGAGCCAGGCAAGATAGAGAATTACCCGCGCATACTGCTTGCGACCTATCAGACATATACGAGTGTATTAAGTTTGACGCTGAGGTCGAGAAGTTGAAAAGATTTGCAAGTTTTAAGCACAATAAGCGATGGTCCACGGTATCAAATGCTTTAGAGTGATCCAGAAGGGTGAGAAAGGTCACGTAGTTCACATCCAGTTTTTGCCTAATATCGTCGGTGACATTCAGTAGTGCCGTGATACAACCTCGATTTTCCCTGAAACCAGACTGGTATTCGCTCACTAAAGAATGTTTTTTTAAAAAATAATGTATTTGCTTATACATCAGGTGCTCCAGCACCTTGGATAGAAACGGTAGGATGGCTATCGGTCTATACTCGCCATTTGGCTTACGGATCGGAATTATTTTGGCCTTCTTTCCAGCAGCTAGGAAACTCCGATTTGGTTAGGATTACATTCAGTGTGTAGGTTAGATGCGGCAAAATTTTTGGCAGAATACATTTAAGGAACTTGGGGTGAATACCATCCAGCCCTACAGCATTAGATTTAATGGCAAGTATTGACTGAACTACGTCGCAATCATCAACACAGACAAAATTGAATTCTTTTAACTTGTTATGAGGGCGGGAACTATAGTCATCGTAGCTGATATTTCTTTTGCTTGGCTTAGTAAATTTTTGATTAAGCACATTAACATCAACATCAACGGTTGCCGTATTTACTTTTTTGCCGATACCTATCTCTCGAATCTGTTTCCAAGTTTAGTTGGAACCGACTGCTACACTGAATCTGTGTTCATAATATTTTCTCTTTTGTGTTCGAATGGCCCTCATGGCCTCCCTCTTCAGTATTTGGTAGTCGGTGAGGAAGGCATCTGTTTTAAAGAGCTTCCATTTGTTATATGCTGAGATACGCTGATTTATAAATCTTTTAATATCTTGATTAAACCAGGGACGGTTCGTATGTGTTTGCGACCTTTGAACAAGTGGGACATATCTGTTAAAAAGTGTATTAATTTGGCATTGTAGAAAGTTTACTTGATCATCAGTCGATGTCAAATCGCGTACTAAACCCCAATCAATGGCGTCGACCGACCTCTCAAGTTGATAATAACAGATCCGATTAAAGTCACGATATGAATACGAGTTTCGCCTAAGATCTCTTACGTCGAAATCGTATATAAGGAAAATTAAGTCGTGTTTTGAAAAACTAGGTGCAGATAATTGATCATAGAAGAGGACGTTAGACAAATCATTAACAAGGAATATATCGAGGAGCGTACTGTTTGTTTAGGTAAAATGTGTAGGGTTCAGTGTGTTTACGGCGAAAAGGCCAAGGTTTTGCATATCTAGTGTAAAAGTATTATTGCGAAGTAAGTCACAATTAAAGTCTCCAGATATGACTATATTTCTGTGCGATACTGTTAGGTCTTCCAGAAACTCAATGAAAGGTGAGTAGTCTATTGTTTTATTTGGCCTATAGACACAGCCTATAAGAATCTTGTCCGAGTTTGTTACGATCTCCACAAAGATATATTCAATGGTGTTGGTAATTGGAGAAACACTATTTAATTTATATGACAGCCCATTTTTTATGTAAAGAGCAACGCCACCACCATGACCATTCCTGTCGTGCCGAAGTAATTTATACCCACTGACACTCAAGAAGTCATCGCTTTGGCAAGCTGAGAACCAGGTCTCGGAAACACACACGAAATCAACATCGGAAAGTTCAAAAATGTATCTGAATTCGTCAATTTTTTTAACTAAGCTTTGTGCGTTGATATGACATATTTTCAGACCTTTCTTTTGTTTGCTTAGTATTCTGACCATATTAAATGTGTTGTCTTTGATGCCTCCCTGATTTAAAACTTTATTGTACATTATTTTGCACAATCCATAAAAGCATTTTAGAAGCGAGCGAAAGCAAACTTACGGGGAAGGTATAACTAAGAGTTCTGTTGGGTACAGGCGAAAATAAAACAAAATGAGTAAGAGATGAGAAATTATGGAAAATAAAAGAAAACTTAATGAACTTAATAACTTAAGTATGAATCATTATGTGTTTTGCAATTTGTTGTTTTACGCTGCAATTCTGATCATCTTTGGATTTTACAACAGTTGCCTGGTCTTGTGGGTGACATCTTACGTGGACTTGCCCACGTTTGGAGAACACATTCAGGAGTCGCTTTTGGTTTTTCAGCTCATAAACAAACTTCATGAGTTCACGATTTTGATTTGTCAAACACTCATCATAAATATTTTACCCTCTGCATCGTGTCCAATGTCCCGGAGAGTAAGCGGTCTTCTCTTGCTTTTGCAGAAACGTGCTACAGCACGGAATAGTGAAGAGCGATCACCTGAATTTCGCAGTTTTACAATTATTGGTGCAGGCTTGTTATTGTTGCTTCTATTGAACCGAAAAATTTTTCCAACTGGAAGAGAATCAGTCGTTACCGCATTACATAGCTTCGAGAATGTTTCACTCAAGTTCTCGTCTTTGGCATGTGGGATACCACTCAAAATAAAATCAATTGAAATGAGTGCGTTTTCGCAATCGTTAAGTGGCTCTCTCAGCGACAGTATTTGAGCATCGCCGCTAAGCTGCTTGCTTTTGTCAAATTCATGANCACTCAAGTTCTCGTCTTTGGCATGTGGGATACCACTCAAAATAAAATCAATTGAAATGAGTGCGTTTTCGCAATCGTTAAGTGGCTCTCTCAGCGACAGTATTTGAGCATCGCCGCTAAGCTGCTTGCTTTTGTCAAATTCATGATCTATTTTTGCAACGCGGAGCTCAACTTCTCGAACACTTTGTTTTAAATTAGCGAAGTCGGCAGTCAACTCACCAATTCTCTGCATAACACGTTCTTCTAGTTCACTCATTCGTGCGGTTAGCTGTTCAATGATGTTCTCCTTTTGCGAGTCCATCTTAGCCACAGTATATACAGTAATAAACCATTTCTCAGTTTTTCACCAATTGGTCCCCGAGGAGGACTTTTGGGTTGTGTGCTGCGTTTTCGTTTTGCGCGCACGGCAACACTTACTGTGGGGAATTTCGCCTCATGATTGGAAAAAGTTCATTAATATATTACAATTTCGACGATTAAAAATATATAATTAGTTTTAAATATTAAAATTAAAAAAATTCCATTGTAAGATTACATTTTTATTGTGTTTTTAAACTGAATTAATTTTTTTTTAGGTCGCGGGTATCTGTTGTGTACCTAAAAAAAAAAAACGTGCACGTGCTTTGGAAAACATCAACCCTGTGGTGTGGGGAGATGAAACGATTACAGCGGCAATGTAAGAAAATTTGACATAAATAAACGGCTGTGAAAGAAAAAAACGTAGGTTTTGTGTTATTTTGTGAATTTATCAATTAAAATTGTAAGTTTCCGAATATATTTAAGTTTTTATTCCAAAAATAAAAACGAAAAGTGTAATTAGTTGCAAGGGCAGCAGTTTTCAAGTATTACTTTTTTTATTTTTGCAGAAATATGCCGAGGCAATGTGTTTGCAAGTGCACCTCCGAGGGAGCTTCTCTTCACAAATTTCCTTCGGATAGAGAAATATCCAGGTAAAACTTTTGAAGTGATTAAGGATTTAATTCATTATTTAAATGCATTGGCACGTGGCACACATAATACAACATGTACGCCAAATAAAAAACGCGTGCAAAATGGTGTACAAATTTAAGAACGGACCGCCTTATTGTGGGTTTTATTGTTTGTTTATTTGTACATCATGATTCATGAAGATTGTAAAAGTTAAAGTTTTTAACTGAACTAGCTTAGCTAAATAACTTTGGACTATGACTCACGTACATAATTCAAAGTTATACGAGCGAACGCGATGTGCTGTTTATGCAGGTATCAGAAGTTTTAGGGCCAGTTTTTCATTGCCAGTTTAAACTTAGATCACGTAAACTGAGTTCAAATTGAACAGCTTGCTGACGTTTGATTTGATAATCTTATTTAGTCAGCTCGAGCGTTTAAACTAAGTTTAAACCACAGCCGTGCACTGAAAAACTGGCCCTCAGTCTAGGGATGGCAAAGTCGACTTCGACTTTCGACCAAAATCGACTTTTTACTCCTGAAAATCGAATTTTATTGATCGACTTTCGGTTTATGGAAGTCGACTGAAGTCGACTTTTCACTTTCGACTCTCGACTTTTTTTTAAATTTATTTGCATATAAAAACTGATCTTCTAACAAGAGCGCGGAGTGCTGTTTGGTTGTATTTAAAAAAAATTGCCAATAAAACTGAAGTGAAATTTGAAAAGTGTGGTAGAGAAATGAATTTTAATGACAGTACAACAACATTGTCAAATCATTTACTAAATAAAATTACTATACGAAAACAAATTCCTCAGTAGCTGTCTGGGCTACTCCCATATATATCCATGCTTATAAAGTGGCACTTATATTTCTACCTATACCCGCCAATTCTGCTCTATCGGAAAGGCCACATTTTTCAAAAAGTTGTCCGTAATTACCAAATATCGATTAAAAAAATTTTTGAATTTTTGTTTTTAATTTAAAATTTTTTTTATTATTTTTCAAAAATATAATTTTTAAAAACCCTCACAACCAACATTTTCATGCTGTAAAACTGGAACAATTTTCAAAATTTTTAAAAATCCTTTAGTGTCTGTTTTTTTACCTAGCATTGAATTTCACTAAATTACAGATTATTCTAAAGACCACTAGTAAATCATGATATTTTTGGCGTATTCTGACTCTTATATTTATAGCTAATATATGAGTTAAGTGCAGAGTATACTTAATACATTTTATTTTTATTAAAAAAGTCGAAAAAAGTCGAACAAAGTCGACTTTTCTTCGTGGATCGGTCGACTTTTAAAGTCGACTGTACAGAGTCGATCGAAAAGTCGAAAGTCGACTTTCTAGTGAAGTCGAACAACCCTACCTCAGTCTTCCTGAACCTGCATATCAGAGAATCAATTCTCGTCCTGTGAAAGCGTGAAGTAAAAATATGTTTCATCAAATCAAATCATTTGTTGTTGCGAAAAGAAAATGTAGATTTTTTGTTTAGAATGACTTGGTAAAGAGTAATATGGAAAAGTCTTTAATTATCAAGAATCATTTAAAACGCCAAATTGAAAAAGTATAGTTTTCACTCAGTTGAAATCTTCATTTTCACTTCACCATTACACAAAATGAGAATTGGCTCCTGCTTTCGCTCATTGAGAACAAGATAAATAATCACCCATGGTACATGGTATTTATGTGCCTTGATAATCACCATTAATTACCATTCTCAAATTATTACAATTTACATATGTATATAAAATCTGATGATTTTTTTTCTGTTTATTCTTTTATCCATCGACAGGCTTTCGGGCTTTCGGACGGGAACGGCGCGTGTTTAAGCAAATTTTTTCAATAAATAGAATTTAGGTATTCACACCTGCCTGATTTTCGGTAATCTAGTTGTGTAGTTTTATTTTTATTCAGTTGATGACAATCAAATAACCTGAACAAAAAATTATTTACAACTAGTTAACCTTATTACCGGGATGGTATGATTATCTTCAATATCTTGTAAGAAAATGTTGTTTATATTAATATATGTAATAAACGTTTCATGACGATTCAGATATTTTAACGTTTTCTTTTTATTCCTTTTTTATTCTTTATTTTAACGTTTCGGGAAAATCTTTCGTGTATTCCAAAATATTATTTCCTGATAATTTTTTGTTTTATTTTCATACGTTATGTTTTTTTTTTGTTTTTTTTGTGAACGGTTGATAATTTTTTTAATGCATTTGCTTTTTTTATAAAACCTGCAACCTCAATAGCATGTGTATATTTGCGAGGGTTTCATTAGCTTAATATATATAATATATATTTCAGATTAGCTTAATATACAAATGTGCATACAAAATTTATATTTTTATGCGTGAATTCCCTCATTCTTATACACATGCTTTGGCCAAATTTTTAGTATTTTAATATATTTTCACTGTTTTAGTTTTTATTTTCTAATATTTTTGAACTTTTAATAGGCGAATGGAATGGGTTAGGCGCTTGGGAGTCAGAAATACCAATAGGAAGCATCTCTACGCTTGCCAGAGGCATTTTTCGACTCGACTGCGCAACAAGTTACGGTTATCAAAGGGGGCTGTACCTGATATCAATTTGTGTGCACCCACAGTAGAGCCTTTTGGTAGTTTAGTAGAAGAACCTACACTACATGACATTATTCATTTAGGGGTTGAAGATTTTAAACCCATTGAAGAAGGTACCTGCACTTGGAGGGAGCTCTTCAACCCACTTCTATAGAAGAACAGGTTAGCTCTTCCCGTTTAGAAAACTGTAATGAAAATACGCAAAATTACCAAGTTTTAAGTGAAGGGTTCCCCGGAGAATATCAATATCAAGAATTATTAGAGAGAGCTAATGAAGAAATTCATGAACTCAAACAAAAACTGTTAGATAAAGAGCGGGAAATTGAACTTTTGAAAGGACAAAGTTCTTCTAATCAAGAGCAGGGAAATAGCGCGCAAATTGAAGATATTTGTAGCAGTTTGCCCCCACATGTCGCTATATGTGTGAGAAGAAATTTATTAAATGTTGGCCACGTAATCCCGGTTGCTCATACAGCAGCATTAAGTCCCTAGAGTTGAGAAGCCGTGGCTTCACAACAGAACAGAAATATGTTTCGTTGTGTTGTGATGAAATGGCTTTGAAGACCAATTTGAAATATGATAGGTGTAGGGACTTAATAATAGGGTTGGAGGACTTCGGAGATGAAAATCGCACCTCCAGAATAGCCAACAGTGTTCTAGCTATGATGGTTCAGGGCATAGGCGGAAACTCTTGGTCTCAGCCCATAGCATACTTTTTTGTGCACAATTCGTGCAAAGGAGATATTGTAAAAAAATATGTTTTTGAAGTTATCTCGCAACTCCAGGATATTGGTCTTTATCCCTGTCATTTTGTTTGTGACCAAGGGTCCAGCTTCATTAACTTTGCTCGAGTAGCAGGAGTAACCGAAGAAAGGCCCTATTTCGAGGTTAATGAACAGGAAATCGCCTTTTTTTATGACTCTCCCCATCTTTCAAAAAGCTCGCGAAACTGCATTCAAAGTAGCAAAAATAAAGTAAGTTTTCGAGGACAACCAGTTCAGTGGGCAGACTTCGCCCATCTCTATGAACAGGATTCCCTTCGCGAAATACGATGCGCACCTAAGTTGACATCGGCACATCTTAGGCCCACATCTTTTCAAAAGATGAGTGTCCGTTTAGCTGCACAGGTTCTGAGTAATACAGTTGCTAGTGCAATGCTTTCTCTTTACAGTTCCGGGAATCTCAATAGTTCTCAGTCTCAAAGTTTCCTAAATACTGCCGAATGTGCCCTTTTCTTCGACCAACTTTTCAATATTTTTAATAGCAATACAATCGGAGCCCTACGTAAGCACGGTCAGCCATTTACAGGAAGCACGGAGCAAATAAATTTCTTACGGAAAGCCCAACAAACACTTACCTCAATTACAGTTCACGATATATTTGGCCGGGATATAACGAATAGTTTTTCTTTCATAAGAGGCTGGCTTCAAAATATTCAAAGTTTAAAACGTTTGTGGCATTCATTGTCAAATAAGGGATTGCAATACATACGAACCAGAAAACTTTGTCAAGACGAACTTGAACACTATTTTGGACAGATTAGAAGAGGGGGAGGATTGAACCCTAGAACTACTCCATCCAGGTTCTCGGACCTTTTCCGACAATCCTGGGGCCTTAGGCATGTGAAGTTTGTTACTAGTGGTAATTGTGAGCCATTGCCTAGCGCTGAGTGGGAGTCGTTTTCATATAATACTTTAGAAAGAGTCTGCAATGATCCTTTGGTTCGGGATCCTTCTTGGCAAACTTTCCAAGGTTTGCCCCGGCCTCTGCCAGACGGATATCAAAATATCAGAAATAGTCTTGAAGTTGATGTCGTAGAAAGTAATTTCCTCCAAAGAAATGCTTTTTCATATTTTTGCGGTTATATATATTTTGAGTTCTTTAAACTACACAAATGTCTGCAGCCTTTACCGACTTTCCAAGAGGATGAAATACCCGAAGATAATTTTATTTTCACAAAAGAAAAAGTGTATGATAAATCTAATTTAGTCAAAGCTCCTCTGGCCTTCATTGAGTTTATGGAAAAACTTGAACAAATTTTAAGCGAAAATTTTGATTCTTGCTGCCATCTAATCGGGTTTTCTAAAGCTATATTTGATAAGATGGAAGGAGTAGAATCTTTTAATTGTTGTATCAACTGCGATCCCAACATTCTTAAACATCTATTTATAAGAATTCGAATTTATTTTTCTTTAGTTTTTCGGAAATAAATTAAGGTCGTTTATTCGTCCTTTATTCAGATAATTTTGCTATTTTCGAAATACAGTTTCGGGTATTTTTTCAAGATCCCTTTTTTTATATTAATTCAAAGCTTCCAGGGTCTCTACTGTGGGTGCTTTCAAAAACCTATTCTATAAAACCATATGTACATAAATACTATTTTTAAAAACATAATTTTAATTTTTGCTGTGCAATATTTTTTGTTTTGCATGAATTGGTTTGCTTTTTATGTTATTTTTTACAAATTTCAGTTAAATGTACATAATTAAAAAACATGAATTATTTTAATTTTTAATATAAGTTTAAGTTATATATTTAATTTTTAATTTTTGCTGTGCAATATTTTTTTGTTTTATATGAATAGTTTTGCTTTTTATGTTCATTTTTATAATTTTGAGTTAAATGTATCGTTTTGCTTTTTGTAGTTTTTTATAATTTTGAGTTAAAGTACAAAATTAAAAAAAAACATGAATTATTACAATTTTTGTTGTACTATTAGTTTAAGTTATATAGGTGAAAATATGCCTCTGGGGGAACCGAACACCTAAAAAAAATCGGTAACGCGCCTGATTGCATACCTGGGTGGTGGGGAAAATGCAATATCGCTAAATATATACCGCATTGAATATAATAAAAAATCGCTGATTTACTTCAATCCGGCTTTACGGCTTTATTGTTTTGAATTTGCATATCTGTGACGTTAAATTAAACTAACCTTAGTCCATATAGGCGCTTTTCCATTTAAAGCAACATTTCATTGGGTTCCCAAACAATTTTTCAATGTTTAACTAGCCATAGGCGCCGTTCAAAATGCACTTCCAATAGAAGATTAATAACAAAAATAAAAAAATTTCGATTGTAACTGATTATTTTTTGATTCAAAGTCAAACTGAAAGTCACTTAAGCTACTTTAATACTCCCATTGTAAAAAATAATACCTATTTTGTTCTACTGAGATGCTGGTAATCAATACAGCTATGAAATTTTTTACATAAAGGAAGAGGCAGCGTAAATTTCTGCACATTTAAATAAATTTTTGGATTATCAAAATATTACAATAAATTAACGATATCACATATTTCCCAAACCTTTTAGTTTTTAGTTTTTAATACACACACACGCGCTTAAAAATATCTTCATCAAACGTCAGCAGATTGTATTGCCAAATGTGCGCAACCACGGTTAGCTGCTAGTTTTCAACTAGTTTGCGCAAGTTGGATTTCTTTTAACTGCGGTTTAGAAATAAAAGACTGATGCTTTGTATTTTGACGTTTTGGAATGCACCGAGTGCTACTTTGCCGTGGGTGCAGCGGTCTCGTGTTGCTGGAGCAAATCTCTATGCTAGAACCCATAGCGCAGGTATTTTGACTAACCCAAGTATACAACGACTTCCACATTTCATTCGAACACTTCACCTTACTTCCAAACCTTGGAACACCTGTTGAAAAATAGTATCTTATAACTCACACAAAATCCTCATTGTGAATCTTTCACTGACCTGTACAAGCAGTTCAAGGCACAACCAAGTTTGAGCGGCCATTACCCGGAGCTCCTCAAAAATACTTAATATAAACCATTTTACGGAAATACACATATACAATTAATTGATATGAATTGCTACCGTATAAATTCAGGACATGCATTTGCTTGGAGACTCCTTTGTTTATGGTGGACATAAGTTCATCCAGCACATTCAACGGTCCATTACCCGGAGCTGCTCCAACGAGATGAGTAGATTTTAGTGAGCCTCACATGCCATTGCCTCTGGCTACAAGCGGGATATCTGAATATTTGAAAATAAATAGCAATTATCTATTAAAAATATAAGAAAAGTATTTGTTTCCAATATTACCTGCTCTTCTCGCAATTTCTAAGAAAAATATAAATTCACCACTCGGAGAAACGTCAAAGAACGTGAACCACGGCTGCATTTTTGAGTAACAAGGTTTAAGAACTAGCGTTTTCAGCATTTAACAGTTCATTAATATTTACGGCGTAATATAACAAGTTAAACATTGAATTATGATAATGTGTATTAGCATCTGTAATAATAGATAATAATTTGCAATTTTTTTACCCCTTTGTAATTATTTTCGGTCACTATTACACAGTCATGACTTGTGCAACTCTGCCATAGTACGGTTGTTGCTCCCTTTTAGACCGGAGTAATTTTTTATACAACTCTGAATCAGCAAAATTCATGCTCCTTTTCATTATCAACCCTGATCACATTTTACCCCCGAGGAGTACTCGAAAAGGTTTATTACTGTATATACTGTGATCTTAGCTTCCAGTCGGGCAAGACAGTTAGTCGTTGGTGAATTACTGGTTTCTCCAGGTTTGCTAATCGGGTTTGATGTATGAAGCGGAGACGAGATGTTGTTGTTGTAGCGGCACTACTAACAACAACAACAACATCTCGTCTCCGCTTCATACATCAAACCCGATTAGCAAACCTGGAGAAACCAGCAATTCACCAACGACTAACTGGCTTGCCCGACTGGAAGCTAAGATCACAGTATATACAGTAATAAACCTTTTCGAGTACTCCTCGGGGGTAAAATGTGATCAGGGTTGATAATGAGAAGGAGCATGAAGGGTTGATAATGAGAAGGAGCGGAGACGAGATCGTTTGCTTTGCTGCCTTTCTTGTTGTCATCGTGCCGGGACTCATATTACACAATTTATTATTTATTAAATTGATTTGATAAATTAACGTGGACTAATAACTTTGAATTAACTTTTGATCAAGACTACTCTAGTTTACCGACAGACAACTTTTCAGAATATATTAGTTTGTGGAAGTGTAGAAGTTAGGAAAATATTACAACGTCGAAAAAACACGTCTACTCTGTTCGCATGTTTGATTGATCGCCATGTTCTGTTAAAAAATATCTAAAATAACAAGCAAAAATCCCCAAGTTTTATATCATAGCAGTGGCCACAATGCGTGTTTGTCACAGACACGGTTTATGTCAAAAATTTTGAAGTGAAACTATCTTCTAAAAATTATTGTATCATGGTAACAGCTATTATTACATTAATTCCATTAACAACCGTGTTCCAGAAAACGAAATCTAATATAACTGGTATTGAAGAAAGATTCGTAATAATAAAAATAAAAATAAAATCCATAACTCAAATTCAATTCTTCGCTAATCTTCAAAAAGCTTGCAAAAATAACAAAAAAAACGCAAAAAAATAAGCCACAAAAAAAATTCATTCACTCAGCTTGAACACCCTTTATATACGTGTTAATGATATACGTATGGACGTATATAATACTCAAGCGAAAAGGACCCGCGAAAGAATAGTAAAAAAATAGATCAAAACAAAAGGTATATTTATAAAAACGTGTGTGGTTATGGCTATTTACGTATGTATATACATATATATGTAGGAAGTTTTTTTTTCTCACTTACCTTATCACTCCCACGATGATGGTACCAACATTGATGAGAGGATGCTGGAAAGGGCTGAGTAGTTACATACATACATACATTTAGACCTACACACGTCTGTCAGTTGACAGCTGACGGTTGAAGTTATTAAGCGCAGTTTATTAAGCTGATCACTTGCTCGTGTTCTGGGGCGACGAGCAAGTCACACTTTGGTGGCAAAGAAATTTATTCGCGCGAAAAATAAAAAAATAAACGAAATTTAAGCTTACAAAATAAAATGTCTAAACCAAGTACAAACGAAAGGAAAAATATAAATATCATGCGAACCAAAGAAGCAAAAATAAATTTGTGTAAAAACAATAATAATAACGAACAATCGTAACGGCAACGAAAAAGCGCGAAAGAAAAACTAAAAGAGTGTGGAACGTGTTCCTATCCACCAAGAGAAGTTGTGAAAAGAAAAATTACGCTGAGGTAAGCCGAAGGATTCTTACCAAACTAAAAAAAAATATTTATGTACTGCTAACCTGATTTACGAAAACAAACTAAACTTAGTGAATTCTGTAAAAGAATTCATAAAATCTGGCAAACGAAAGTTATTAGGTGATAAAACCTGTAGATAAGCAAAAAATAGCAAGCGGTGATAAATTAAAAAGAAAAAAGGGATCGCAATGAAAATAACAGCAAAGCCTACATATGTGTGTACATATACGTATGTAAAACAAAAAAAAAAATCCAGCTCAGCTAATCCGGTGGTTGGTGGTGGTCGCTCCCAGTGTGCTCTGTGGCGATCGCCGCTGCCACCCATGCCGCAATGTACATATGTATGTCCGCTTGAGTGAGTGTCCGCTCGCTGGAAAGCTGTCCCAATTCTCTCTTCTCACTTTTCTTCACGCGCAAGTGCCTGTTTCTACTTGTACGCCGGGCGTTGACCTATCCCAAAAATCGCATGCGATTCGTCCAGCTGATATTTGCTTTGTTACTGTTGCTTCCTAAATCGCAGCTGGCACTCAAACCTCAATATGGTGTTGATCCAAAATCTATCTTTTGGTATCGACGCAAGTGTGTAAATGTCTGTGCCCGTATTAAGGGGTGAAGCTGTTGCATGCACGCATTATCGCCGTGCCCATGTGCCACATTTTTAGTGGTGTTCGATTGCCGTCGCCTCCACTATGGAAAGTTAATTTTGTTGTTGTTTCTGTGTATGTATGTATTTTGGCGCTTGTGTGTTATGCAGTGGCAGGTAATATGCACAGGGTGTCGGTCGAAAGGACTCTACGTAGCGAGGTCCTTTCGTATGTGGATATACTGGTGACCTAAAAAACAATGGCAATATAAACACAATTTGCAGTCTACCCCTTCTCCTTTTTTTTCTTGAAGGCTTCGTATGTACATTCATATCACTCATTTATTAGAAAAGTATGTAGCATGATAAAAACATAACCAGGTAAAACCATCGAGAGGCAGTCTGACGTTAGTCGGCAATATAATTTAAAAATTCAAAACTCAAACTCACACACACGTTCTCATTTTCAATCTCAAACAACAACAATTGTGAGGAATTTCATTTTTTTTTTCAATTTTATCATCATATATATTATTTCTCTAAGGTTTTTTTTGTTAGTCTCCCTTTTTCTATTTTCCTATGTAAGCAGTTCCACTAATGAGGTGTCATTTGAAAAGTCAGAGGTCCCCTGAGTGGTTATTAGGTAATATTAATGGTCATAACTCCTCTGATGTAAAGAAATTTGTTTTTTTATTTTTGTTTTTAATTTACCATTGTTAAGCCACACTAAAGGTATTTTGTACTGAAGCACTATTGTGACAGCATAATTCATAATTAATGGTTCGATAGTAGGTTTGACAGTTGTCTCTCTCGCACAGCTCCCTTATCCGTGGCACCGTGTTGCTTCTTTGCAAATTAAAAAAATAGTAGCTTATGTACGTGTGAAATAGAAGTATACGTTTTATGTGCAATATGTTTATTTTTATATTCAAATAAAGCACAATTAACCAATGAAATAATATAATTCTTAATACTTCGTTTGAAATGCCAATTTTCCTGCAAATACATTAGAATTCGCAAAAGGAAATTCACTACTAATTGCCGACTTTGCGCACTTTTCTACTACCATTTTCGGACCAAGGGATTTCATTCTTCCTCATTCACTGTCCTTCGTAAGTGCAACCTTTTGTTTTGTAATTATGTCATAATTAGCCTTTTATTATTGAATCATGGGACTCGACAATAAGAGAGAAAAGAATAATAAGGAATTAAATAGTATAGTGCCCAATATTAAGACCGTAAATTTATAAATAAAAAAAGGAAAATTTAAAATAATGTTACACAATTTAGAACAAGATTGAAAAAATCACCGTTAGAAAAATACTGTGCTTCAATAACCTCAATTTTCCTATATAATTATATATATACATATAGGAAAATGTGCAGTAGTCAATGAAAAAAAAAACAATAACATTGCAGAATAGCCAAAAATTGGAAAATGTGGTACAATATCAAAGTTGTGGTATAAAATTCATAAAGGGTATTTCCACGATGTCTGCGTTGCGCAATTTCGTCATTATCCTGAATTTCAGCTGAAATCGCGATACAATTCTCAATTTGACCATATAAAAAAATATCACGTGAAATTGCGTATGAATTTTCAGCGAATAAACAAAAATAAACCGAGCCTACAGTCACAATAGCACTTCAATACTTTTACAATACTAATTGCCGATGTTAGTCCGTAGATGGCGCGCTAAAGGGGTTTCCTTTGTTCATGAATTATGAGGTCAAAAATTTATACAGAATTA